CGATGGGTGAGACCAGGGAAAAGGGGAGCAATGCCCACGCCAGACTCCGGGCCGGGGGGCAAAGGGCGGCAGGGAGATGTGCTGTGAGGAAGGCCCTGTTTGCGCTCGCTCTCCCTGCGGAGGGGTGCTCGTTTTGCACCTCTCCTGAGAGAGGCTTGACCTGACCTCCCCCAGCCCCGCTGGGATGAGCCGTCCCAGTTTTTGGAGGATGTTATTTTTGCCTTCCAGCCAGCCTGTGGGTTCATATAAGCAAACATTTCCAAAAGTGGTGGCTGATCTTTGTTGCCTTGGTTCCTCACTGTCCAGCCTGTGACAGCTCTGTCCCTGACTGGAGAAAAATGTGTGTGGGGAGGATGGAGATGCTGAACTGCTCTAAAACCAGGCCTGAAACAGCTGAGAAATTGGAGCATCCAAAACTACTTTGCCACAGTGGAAAATGTGACCGTGCGCCTCGCTGCTAGGCAGGGGGCTGGCTAGCGAGACCCACCACGTAAGGGATTATTCCTGGGAGGGATTAAAAGGGAGTCCAGTTACTTGGGATAGTTAAAGTATAAATCTGGGACCCCTCCTGTCCTGACCCTGGGAGGAGCCCTTGCTCCTTTGCCACTGTGTCCCACCTCAGAAACTCCTGCATCGGAGGCAGCGCGGATGCCAGGGAGCACACGTTCGTTGGCGTTCCGTGCCTGGGGAAGCAGCCGGCTCCCGCTGCTGAACAGAAGCAGCTCTGTCCGCAGGGCCTTGGCTGGCTGCTGGGAGAGATCCTTGGGTTGGGGTGGCTGGATGTGCCCGAGACCTGCGGAGGGGCGTGGGGCAAAGGCATCCCCACGTATCAACAGGAGCTCTCTCCTCCCATGCTGTAGCTCATGGCAGCGCATTGATGGAGCATGAGGTCATGCAGAACAGGCTGGGCAGCGCAGGCAGCGACTTGAACCGGTGCCCAAGTTTTTTTGCCTCTTGAGGCTGGGCTAAGGGAGCTACAGCATCTTTTTGGAAACCTTCACGTAACACTGGCCTGTCTGCCACCAGTGTGTACCCTCCAGATGTGAAGTGTCAGAAAGAGTAGGATTAACTCAAAGAAGCCCTGCTATTAAAAGACTAATGAGTAGGAGCTCTCTGAGTAGTAGCTTAGGCTAATGAGCGCCATGCTGTTTGGTGTGGGTCCAGGCAGTGAGCCCACAGCTCATTAACTTCCACCTTCCCCAGGGCATGCAGGTAGTGGGGGTTATTCCTGGGTCTCCACCTGAGTTCAGCCCTTGCTCTGACTCCTGCAGCATGGCAGAGAAGAGCCTGGCATGAAGGCATGTGCTGTCCCAGCGCTTGGTGAGGAGTTATTGAGGCTTTCAGCCAGATCTGTGGGAATCTGGTCTAGGTTTATGGAGAGTCTTGCTGCTCTTGGGGCAGAATAAATTGAGGGTGGGAGGAATTTCAGGCTGGCTCTTGCAGTCTGATTCAGCACCGCAATGGGGAGCAGAAGGCTGATGGGTGTGTTGGGTTGACCTCGGCTGGCTGCCAGGTGCCCAGCCAGCCGCTCCCTCACTCCCCCTCCTCAGCAGGACAGGGAGGAGAAAAGAAGATGAAAAAGCTCCAGCGTGGGCCCTTCCCATGGGGTACAGTCCATCAGGAACAGACTGCTCCGGTGTAGAGTCCTCCATGGGCTGCTGGGAGACAACCTGCTTCACCGCAGTGTTCACCACGGGTTGCAGGGCAATCCCTGCTCCGGCGCCTGGAGCAGCTCCTCCCCCTCCTTATTCTCTGCCTGGGGTGTCTGCAGGGCTGTTTCTCTCACATTTTTCTCACTCCTCTCCCACAGCTGCTCCGCAGCATTTTTTACCTTACCTTACTTATATTATCACAGAGGCAACACCAGTGTCGGTGATGGGCTCAGCTTTGGGCAGCAGCGGGTCTGTTTTGGAGTTGGCTGGGACTGGCTGTCTCCAACATGGGGGCAGCTCCTGGTGTCTTCTCGCAGAAGCCACCCTTGCAGCCCCCTGCCACCACCACCACGCCACGTAAACCCAACACCATGGGAGAGGCCGGAGGTGGATGAACAGGCAGGGAAGATGGTGCAGCCCCAGCAGTTCCCCCCGGGGACCTGCCTGTGGGCTGGGGCTGCCTGGTGGGAGCTGCTTGGAGAGTGCTTGGAGTGAACGGAGTTCTGGCAGGCATCGTGGAGGGATGGACCCTGTGATGGACCTGTGATGGACCCTCTTCCCGTGTCTCCAGCATCTGGGAGCTGAGGCATGCGGGCTCCCCCTACAATGATTTTTTTCTTTTGGTCTTACGAGCACTAACTTCCATTAGCAATACCCAGCCATGGGACCAGCCCCATTCCCTTGAGTAATCCCATCCTGCTCACGCCCGAGCGAGCCCCAGCCTGGCCGCCTCTGCTTCCCAGCTGAGCAGCGGAAACGCTTGATGCACCAAAGACCTGGTTTTCCCCTGGCTTTGGTTTGATGTGCAGGCTCTGTTAAACCGCTTTTTTAATGTGCCAGGGCAAGGCAGGTCCTGGCTGCTCTCTCATGCTCCTGGTCTCAACCATCGCTCTTGAACGCTGTCAGTCCCGCGCAGGATCCGGGAGCCGGTCCTGCTGGCCCCTGCTGCGTGCTCCCCTCCCCATGGCATCGTCAGAGGAACAGTTCCTGCTGTGGAGCTGGGGTGTCTCTGTGTGCATCTGTGGGGCTGTGGCTGATGCCTGCCACAGGGACAGCTTGCAGTGACATTTGGCTTTGCTTCCAGGTGACTTCTGCGACGTAAACTACTGTCAGAACGGGGGCACCTGCCTGACCGGGATTAATGAGACCCCCTTCTTCTGCATCTGCCCTGAGGGCTATGTTGGGATTGACTGCAATGAGACAGAGAAAGGTGAGGTGCTGACCCCATCACGGGGGTCCCATGAAGTCCAGGAACCTTGCAGTGTGGCAGCGTGCCCTCATTGTGGCCCTGTACCGCTGGCCCTGGGGTCCAGCCCTGCTGATGGGCACATAGAGCGGGGATCCAAGCAGGGATGTGGTGATCTCCATCACTTGGGGGGAATGTGACTTCTTTGGGGAGCCACAGCCCACTGGACGCTCTTATTCTCCACCTGTGCCCATATTAAAGCCATTTTCCGCCCTTTCCCCTTCCCCAGGCCCCTGCCACCCCAATCCTTGCCACAACAACGGTGTGTGCCAGCTGGTCCCAAACCGGGGGGATGTCTTCACCGACTACATCTGCAAGTGCCCCGCGGGGTATGACGGAGTGCATTGCCAGAACAGTGAGTACGGTGGGGTGGGGGAGGCTGCTCTGCTGCTAAGGGCTTGGGGACCCTTCGGGCAGCACTGGGGGAACAACTGGGGGGTGTTTGCAGCTGTGGCTGCGTTGGGCGCTAGGCTCTGTCAGAGACCATGGGCTGGTTTGGACCTTGCAGGGTGGAGGGAAGAACCATGACATGGGGACGTGGCGGTGTCTGAGCCTTGCTCTGCATCTCTGGAGGGACACGGTGCCTTGAGTAATGGGACACGGGGTGCCTCGAGGCTCAGCCTGCTCCAGGCGGGCTCCCAGCCTTGCCATGGCTGTGCATCCCAATGCACCTGCATGGCTGCAATCAGTGGGGGCAAGGCCTGGGCAGCTCCTTGGGTTAGAGCTTCAACCCGTGCCACCATATCAGCAGCGG